CTAATAGATGCAGGCCTGGTGTGGCTACACGTTTTGACAAATAAACGCAGGTCTCCAATAGAGGCCTGGTCTGGATTTTATAGAAATTATCTCGATGTATAAAACCTCTTAAAACCCACCGGGTCGCCTCGAGGTCGGGTCGAGTTTTAAGTCGTTTTAATCTCCTACATAAATATAAATGTTTAAACTTCTGTCAATATGTACATAATGCACATCATAAGATCAGTTATAGATTCTCCACAGTTCAATCGTTCACTATATTTTAGGAAAACTATCAACACCAAAGTATAACGTTAATTAATCCTGAATTATCAGTAACTTGATAAACAAGAGAGATGGAAAACAACCTCTGAAGCATCATAATCATCATGTTAGTTGAAAAAAGTGCTCAAGAGAAGCAGCAGTTAGAGTTTAGTTTATTTTGTGCTAAAGGAAATAAAGGCCTGTCCCAAATAGAGGCAGGGGGAGTTCAGTGATTTAAGCAAATAAATGCCCGGGCTATTATTAGAAGTTTTACGGTATTAATTAACGCTAATGTTGCTCCGAAGTGTTCCCCAGGTGGAGGAGGAAGTATTTCCATCCTTCACTGAAATAAAAGTACTAACAGCACTCTGTAAATTAAATGGGACTTGAAGGTGGGGTCAGACGTTATAGAGAGAGTAGAATATAGAGTTGATTTGATATTTTCTTTGGTTTTTTCGTCAAATCCAGATGTGCAATGATGTGATAAACTGTAGCGCTCATTATGATAACATTATAATACGCTTCCGTGCTGCTCTGAGACTTCATACTTACTCATCAAACTACTCTGTAGTGCAGTTTTCCACCTTCTCCAGCAACAACACACCTTCTTTATCTGACCCTGAACGCACCACAGAGACTGAAACCACTAAATCAGACAGCGTTTAGATTTATCTGGTGTGTGTGTGTGTGTGTGTGTAGGTGTGCAGCAGCTTTCAACAGCAAAATAAAGTGCTTTACATAAGACAAACACATTAAGAAAAGATATGAATGGAAGAAAGGGCAATGTGAAAACACATAAATAAGATTTAAAAACAGTAAAATATGCCAAAAGTGAACACTTTACAGTGTTACACATATAAGGTGAGATAAATACTAATAACTTTTCCAAAAATTAGAAAATAGCTCCGTACAGCAGTGCAGAGCAACCCAAAGTGAACCAGACAACTCCAATATATTCCAACGTATATTATCCAGTCTTTCAATCTGATGGATTGGATCTCATTGTCTTATTTAATGTAATATCTATGTTTATTGTTGAATGGTGGCCTTCTTGATTATAAGGCGTGCTAGAAAACTTAATAAATATACACAGTCAGGTCTATATCTCAGTGTTTGGTTCACTTCTGTAAATAGAACAAAGGTCAATACAACACTGAATTTATCAAAACAAAAATTCTATCAAGTTGGTTTAAAAAAATAATGTTTAAAGTTACAAAATACAGACAGAGAATTGAAGAAAAAC